GATTGTCCCAAAGGTGCTTTTTTTTCAAGAGACAATGGGACTTTCTGGTTTTTTTTTTTCTTTTGAAGACGTTTCTCTTCTCATCCAAAAAGCTTCCTCAGCTCTGAGTGGATGGGTGGGGGGAAGGGAAGGATTTATATTCCTTACAAGACAGCTGGTCATTTGCATCCTTTTAGAGCGTCGTTGAGGCCACTTGGAGGTTTGAACACCCTTCGAATGGTGTGGGAGTAGGAACGGATTTCCAGAGGAGGGAAAAGAAATTGCAGACTACAGGAACCATCTGCACTATTCAGGTGACCCTGAGGACGCAGGTGAACCTCCAAGTGGCCTCAACAACCCTCTAAAAGGATGCAAATGACCAGCTGTCTGCAAGGAGTAGAAATCCTTCCATTCCCCACCATCCAGTCAGAGCTGAAGAAGCTTCTGGGATGAGGAGCGAAACCTCTTCAAAAGAAAAAAAACAGAAAGTCCAGTTGCCTCTTGGAAAAAAAGCACCTTTGGGTCATATCTTCTCTTGATTTCTAAGGTCAGAGTGCCAGTTTTTCCCCCCTGACTGTCTTCTTTTAATTGTAAAAATGCAACCCTACCATAAGCAGCTTCTCAGCCTCCAGTCTCCATCGCTCGTTTATTACAATACAGGTAGTTCTCGATTTACGACCATTCATTTTTGTCACCGTTCAAAGTTATAACGGCAAAGTGGGGAAAAAACGACTTATGACCATTTTTCACACTTATGTCAGTTGCAGCATCCTCGTGGTTCGTCACGTGATCCAAATTCAAATGCTTGGCAACTGACTCACATTTATGACAGTTGCAATGTCCGCGGGGGTGTCGTGCGATCCCCTTTTTGTGCGACCTTTTGGCAAGATGAGTCCATGTGGGAAGCCAGATTCACTTAACAACCATGTTACTCACTTAAATGACCGCAGTGATTCAGTTAACGAATGAAAGGTCGAAAAAGGGGACACAATTCACTCAATGACTGTCTCGCTTAGCAACAGAAAGGTTGGGCTCGATTGTGGTCGTACGTTGACGACAATATGTAGAGTGTCAGGATTCCGGCAGTGACCCCCATTTAAATCATGAGTCTCGAGCCAAACTTCCAAAACTTCAAAAGGATTTTTTGGGAATTAAACTGCCCGGCACTGCCTGGGTGTAGCCAACTCTGAGACACATAATTCACAGTCACCCTTGACCCTGGTTTTCCCCCACACCCCCTGGGTGTCTCATAATTCCTATTCTCCAATGGGATACCCCCGTAGCCCAGAGTCATCCATCATGCTCTGCAGATAGAATTTTGCAAGGCAGAAACTTCAGTCACCTAGTTACTATCTTTGAAAACATTTATGGAATGCACTTTCGGTTTTGCAAGCTGCCGCACTGCTCTCCCCTCCCTTTCTCTTGGCAACTCTAAAAAGACCAAAGAAATATTTTATGAGTTGACACAGTGCAGTGGTGCCTAACTTTTTCGTGCTTCTGTGCCAAAAATTGTGCGCATGCTTGCACGCTCGCGCTCGCATGCCAGCACCCAGAAGGCAATGCGTGCCCCCACTTGCCCCCTATGCATGCGCACGCAATCCCCACCTACCCACCTACCCCTGCCGCCCCCTTACCTGCACTGAGCCTCACAGCTGATTTTCGGCTGGTTTGAGGCCTTTTTCGGCCTTCCAGAGGCTTGAAGGCGGCTTCTGCAGCCTTTGCAGGCCGAAAACTAGGCCCGTTTCGTCACTTCTGGTATTTTCGGAAAAACAGGAAGTGACGAAACAGGCCTAGTTTTCGGCCTGCAAAACCTGCAGAAGCCTGCAGAAGCCTTCCTCAAGCCTCTGGGAGGCCGAAAAAGGCCTCAAACCAGCTGAAAACCAGCTGTGAGGTGCACGCATGCGCAGTGAGGTAAGTTTGCCTGTAGCTCACATGCTGGCACAAATAGCTCTGTGTGCCACCTGTGGCACGCAAGCCATAGGTTTGTCATCATGGACATAAGAGCATGCTTTTAAAAGTTTTTCCAACGATTTATTTGTTTCCTGCCAGGAGGAAAACTTGGGGAGGCAGAGTTTGAGAAAGAATTTTATGCAAGATTTGGTGCTAATCGTTCCTTCCTTGTTAACCTTAGGTGGTTCCTGACAGGCATGAGCCGGAAGGATGCCGAGCGTCACTTATTGGCTCCAGGAAATTTTATTGGCTCGTTCATGATCCGAGACAGTGAAACAAGCAAAGGTAGATGATTAAAGCAGTGGTGGGATTCAATTTTTTTTACTACTGGTTCTGTGGCTTGCTAGGCGTGGCAGGGGAAGGATATTGCAAAATCCCCATTCCCTCCCCACCCCACTGACCTGCTTTCCAGTTCTGTTCTCCTATGCAGGGCAAATTATTAGTATTAGTATTAGTATTAGTATTAGTATTACAATATACATATCTTCTTCCATTTGGCGATGTGCCCTCTGGTTACAAATATCTTGTGCAATACAGTTAATGTTTACAGTCATATTCATTACATAGTATTATTCTCTAGTCTTATCTTATTATACTTATTATACTTAATATCACTATCTTTTTATCTTTCTTCTTAGCTTATTTATTTCTGTTAAAAAAAATACACTGCTCAAAAACATAAAGGGAACACAAAAATAAGACATCCTAGATCTGAATGAATGAAATATTCTTATTAAATACTTTGTAATGTTCATTACATAGTTGAACATGCTGACAACAAAATCACACAAAAATTATCAGTGGAAATCAAATTTAGCAACCCATGGAGGTCTGGATTTGGAGTTACACTCAAAATTAAAGTGGAAAAAAACACTACAGGCTGATCCAACTTTGATGTAATGTCCTTAAAACAAGTCAGAATGAGGCTCAGTAGTGTGTGTGGCCTCCCTGCACCTGTATGACCTCCCTACCACACCTCGGCATGCTCCTGATGAGGTGGCGGATGGTCTCCTGAGAGATCTCCTCCCACACCTGGACTAAAGCATCCCCCAACTCCTGGACAGTCTGTGGTGCAACGTGGTGTTGGTGGATGGAGCGAGACATGATTGGATTCAGGTCTGGGGAACGGGCGGGCCAGTCCACAGCATCAATGCCTTCATCTTGCAGGAACTGCTGACACACTCCAGCCACATGAGGTCTAGCATTGTCTTGCATTAGGAGGAACCCAGAGCCAAGCACACCAGCATATGGTCTCACAAGGGGTCTGAGGATCTCATCTCGGTACCTCATGGCAGTCAGGCTACCTCTGGAGAGCACATGGAGGGCTGTGCGGCCCCCTAAAGAAATGCCACCCCACACCATTACTGACCCACTGCCAAACCGGTCATGCTGGAGGATGTTGCAGGCAGCAGAACGTTCTCCACGGCGTCTCCAGACCCTGTCACGTCTGTCACATGTGCTCAGCGTGAACCTGCTTTCATCTGTGAAGAGCACAGGGCGCCAGTGGCAAATTTGCCAGTCTTGGTGTTCTCTGGCAAATGCCAAACGTCTTGCATGGTGTTGGGCCGTAAGCACAACCCTGACCTGTGGACGTCGGGCACTCATACCACCCTCATGCAGTCTGTTTCTGACCGTTTGAACAATGACTGACGATTGTTTTCCTCACTTAATGACCATTGGGGCATCTCCACACGATCAAAATTTGGACCGTTAGCAACTGGCTCATGTTTTATGATGATCGCAGGGGGTCCTGTTTAAAAACATGTCTGATCCTGTTTTAAGACCTTCTGACAAGCCAAATCAACGAGGAAGTCAGATTCACTGAATAACCAGGTTACTCACTGAACACCTGCAGCAGTGGCTCACTTAACAACTGTGGCAAGGAAGGTCGTAAAACGGGGCAAAACTCACTCAACAACTTGTCTTGTTTAGCAACCAACATTTTGGGCTCAGTTGTGGTCGTAGGAATAGAATGAGCCTGAAGGGACCTTGGAGGTCTTCTAGTCCAGCCCCCAGCTCAAGCAGGAGAACCTATGCCCGTGATGGCGAACCTATGGCATGCGTGTCACAGGTGGCACACAGAGCCATTTGTGTGGGCACGCGAGCCCTAGCCAAACGTACCTGCACTGCTCATAAGTGCGCCTCCCAGATGATTTTCGGCCTGTTTGATGCCATTTTCGGCCTCTCAGAGGCTCGAGGGAAGCCTCTGCAGCCTCAGGAGGCCGAAAGACAGGCCTTCTGGAAATACCGGAAGTGGCAAAACGGGCCCGTTTTTCGGCCTGCTGAGGCTGCAGAGGCTTCCCTCGAGCTTCCGGGAGAGCGAAAATGGCCTCCCCCGGGCTCCAGAGGCCCTCCAGAGGCTGAAAGTGGGCACTTCCGGTATTTCCGGAACGCCTGTTTTTCGGCCTCCCAAGGCTTCAGAGGCTTCCCTTGAGACTCTGGGAGGGTGAAAACGGCCTCAAACGGCCCCAAAATCAGCTGGGAGGCACGCGCATGCACAGTGCAGGTAAGGGGCTGGGGGTGTTGCATGCGGAGGGGGGCTGGGGCGCATTGCATTATGGGTGCTGGCACGTGCATTTTCAGCACACTACAACGGAAAGTTTTGCCATCACTGACCTGTGCCATTTCAAAGTCGCAGGCTGTGCTTATTGAATCAGGGCGCATAAATGTTGGAAGGAGTGACACTTTGCTTCTGTCCACAGGGTAAACTTCCCTTTTGAGAGGTAGATAAAAATAATTGACCTCACTTCTCGTTTCTCTTTCTCTCTGTCCTGGTTCCAGGGAGTTACTCCCTCTCCGTCCGAGACTTTGATTCCCAAAACAAAATGGACGTGGTGAAACACTACAAGATTCGAACCCTGGACGACGGGGGCTTCTACATCTCTACCCGGACCAACTTCAGCACTCTGCAAGAACTGGTCAGCCATTACAAAGGTGAGCCTGCAAATCTGGCAGCCATTGAGACATTTTCTACATGAGGGGCGGAGGGAACATGGGTATGTCAATCCGTTTGTCAACTCGTAAAGCATTCCTGGCCTGCTTTTGAGTTGCCATAGGCAGGAGCAGGGAGAACTGATGGAGCAGCTTGGTTGCTATGACCAGAAGCACACCAGGTTACCAGAGCCAGCCGGAGAGGTGTGTTTTCTACCACTTGCAAAAGTGCTTTGTTGGAGAATGTGATTTATGACACACCCTGGGAGGAAACGGGAAACAGGGTCGTGGGTGGGCAGTAAATTGTGTAGGACAGAGCCGACTGCACTTGGGAAAAATGCCGACATGTTGCTCCTAATAAATAATTGGATTTTTTTTTGAAACTTGGCTCGAGGCTCATGAATTAATTAGAGCATCCATTGGAACCCTGACACTGTTGGCTCCAGAGTTAAAAATCAACCCTTTTTGACAGAGGAGGAACTGGGGTCGGAAGAGAGCAAGGGTGTGTGGGAATGGCCTTGGGAGACAGGAGGAAGAGCTGCAGACCAGGCAGCGATTGGATAAGACAGGGGTGTTCAGAATGGGCCACTTTAAGACTGGCAGACTTCAATTCCCAGAATTCCCCAGCCACAATGCGAATAAACTTTAAGGTGGGTAGACTTCAACTCCCAGAATTCCCTAGCCAGCGCATCTTAAAGTCCTTCCTCCCCCCATCTTAAAGTTTATTAGCATGCTGGCTGAGGAATTCTGGGAATTGTTCTACAAGTCTTAAAATGGCCAAGTTTGGAGACCCCTGAGATAAGAGGCTGCTGAGCTCACGGCAGGAAAGGGTCATGGCCAACATCTGAGAAATGAGCCTCTAGTTTCTTGGGGTGTAAAAGTGACAAAACAAATCTCGTTCTCTCTTGTTTTTTTTCTCTCTCTCTCCCTCGCTCTCTTTTCTCTTTTTTTCTCTCCCACTTTCTCTCCTGTGTGTCTCTCTCGTTCTTTCTCTGTTCCTCTCTTTCTCTTTCTCTTTCTCTTTTCCTCTCTCTCTGTTCCTCTCTCTTTCTCTCCGTGTCACTTTCTCTCTGTTTTTCTCTTTTCTCTTTTTCTCCCTCCTCTCTCTCTCTCTCCCTCTCTCCCTTGCTCTCTTTCCTCTTTTTTTCCTCTCCCACTTTCTCTCCTGTGTGTCTCTCGTTCTTTCTCTTTCTCTCTCTCTCTCTCTCTCTCTCTCTTTCTCTCTTTCTCTAGTTCCTCTCTCTTTCTCTCATTTTCTGTCTGCTTTTTATCTTTTTCTTTCTCCTCTCCCTCTCTCCCTCACTCCCTCGCTCTCTTTTCTCTTTTTCTCTCTCTCCCATTTTCTCCCTCTCTGTGCCTCTCGCTCTTCCTCTGTTCTTCTCTCTTTCTGTCTCACTTCCTGTGTTTTCCTCTTTACCCTTTCTCTCCCTTCTCTCTCTCTCTCTCTCTCTCTCTCTCTCCATCCCTTCCTCTCTCTTTCTCTCTTTCTCTCTCTCTTTCTATATCTCTCTCTCTCATTTCTGGGCATGCCCTTTGACTCGGCTATCTCCCAGTGAATGTCAACTCCCAGAATCCTCTCGCCAGCATGTTAATACATTTTCATGTGGGTGGATTTTAAGATTCACTGACTGGGGGATTCTGGGAGTTGAAGTCCACCCATCTTAAAGTTGCCAAGGTTGAGAAACACCAGTCTAGAAAAACGTCATCCCCGGTCCTGCAATCTCCTCTCTTCCAGGGAAAACCGATGGATTGTGTCAGAAGCTGAGTCACCCCTGTGTGTTGCCGAAGCCCGAAAAACCCTGGGAGAAGGATGCCTGGGAAATCCCCAGGAGCTCCCTAAAAATGGAGAAGAAGTTGGGGGCCGGACAGTTTGGAGAAGTCTGGCTGGGTAAGGTCATTGAAGGCCCACCTTCTCAGCTAGGCCATCTTGATTTTTGAATGTCTCCTTTTCGATTGCAAAGGCTACCCGCTTAAAACCCCCACCATCATTCCCAGGGGAGATCTTTCTCATTCCTTCAATCAATCAATCAATCAATCAATCAATTCAAGTTACATGGCTACCCATTTCAAATGGAAGACCAAGGACAGTCCTTGGTGTCTCTGAGCTTGGTGATTTTCTTGTAGATATTTCATGAAGAGGAGGAGGGAGGAGGAGGAGGAGGAGGAGGAGGAGGAGGAGGAGGAGGAAGAGAACTGTGGGGTTCTTGGTACTCTCTGAGCTTGGTTATTCACCCTCTCGTTCTGCTCTAGGGTCAGGTTAAGACCAGATTGCAAATCTGTCCTTCCAAACCAGAGGTGGGGAACTATGGCCCCTTTATGACTTGTGGACTTCCACTCCCAGAATTCCTGTGGCAGCATGGCAGCAGGGCTGGTTCAGGAATTCTGGGAGTTGTGGACTTCAACTCCCAGAATGAGCAGCCATGTCGTGGCTCCATCTCAGAATTCCTGAGGCAGCCATGTCGGCCATGGCCCCTTTATGACTTGTGGACTTCCACTCCCAGAATTCCTGAGCCAGCATGGCAGCATGGCTGTTGTAACAACGAGGCAGTCGAGTTGTTTGGTCATGAACAACTGAATCATGATGATCTTTATTGGAGTCTAGTCTTGCATTTATACACATTTTTAGTTATCCTCCATCACTGGTTAACTTTGGTTACTGCTTAACTTTCGTTACTGTTTAGCACAGTAATCCATACAATTAATTATCTCTAGTTAAAGTCTAACATATGTTGACTTCCTCTCTCTAATCCTCCTTTAGATTAGTGACTTTGTTTGCCTGAGTTGTATTTGCTTGGAAACATTCTTTATCTGAGGTTTGCCATCCGAGACTGGAACATTCCTGCAATTACAACTCTACACATGGCTGGTTCAGGAATTCTGGGAGTTGTGGAGTTCAACTCCCAGAATTCCTGAGGCAGACATGTCGGCCATGGCCCCTTTATGACTTATGGACTTCCATAAGTGTTAAAGGGGCCATAGCCGGGCATGGCTGCCTCAGGAATTCTGGGAGATGAAGTCCAGAAGTCATGAAGGGGCCCTCGTCCCCCACCCGTGTTCTAAAGCATGGCTTTCCCTCTTCCACAGCCACCTATAACGCCCACACCAAAGTGGCTGTGAAGACCATGAAGCCAGGCAGCATGACGGTGAAGGCCTTCCTGGAAGAGGCCAACATCATGAAGACCCTGCAGCATGACAAGCTAGTCAGACTCCATGCGGTGGTGACCAAGGAAGAACCCATTTTCATCATCACCGAATTCATGGAGAAAGGTGAGAACCAGCATTCCTCATCGTGACCTAACTTTGAATGGTCACTATATGAATGGTTGTAACTTGAGGACTACTTGTAGAATAGAATTAGAATTAGAATTGAAAGGGAAGGGAAGGGAGTAGAATAGAATAGAATAGAATAGAATAGAATAGAATAGAATAGAATAGAATAGAATAGAATAGAATA